GTGGGGGGGGGGGGGGTCTGCTTAAAAAATTATGTTCAAAGTGTTATTTGTACAAAACACTTACATGTCTGGTGATTTACTAATGAGGGGGAAACTTCTGAAGGAATTGTAGATTAGAGCGAAAGAAGCAAAAACGGTCAGACATTTAATGAGATTCCTCCTTTCTTCTTCTCTTTAATATTCATTTACACGGCCCCTTAACCTTGCTTACCCAGGACAAACCCCCAGAGTTCAGATTGTTTTGACAGGCTGTAAATGTGATCTGCCAGACCACCACGCCCACAGTTATGTACTTCCATTCATTCATTTATGTCCCAACATTTGTCTGTTGACTGTTTTTGATGTTTTGTGAGGCATTTACATGTTGCATATCAAAACCCCTCTGTAGTAATATTTGAAGTGATATTTGATGGTTGGAGAAAGCGATCTGTGAAACTGAAGTCTCTAAATATTACAAAATCCTCTCAATATATTTGATCTCGTACAGCTTGAGTCTTCGAGTTGGGCATGAATATGACCCAAAATTACATCAGAGTTTCATATAGGCTCTGCAAGCACATTGAGAACCAATTAAACAGACTAATTAGCCTCAGTTCATTTTTTACCTATAGAGGAGAATGACCCAATTTTTCTGCGAAGCTTTATTGTCTGCTGTTGTTTATTGGAGCTCATGTCTTCTCAACAAGTTCAGTAAGTTTCAATAAGTAAAAAAGCTTTAACTCGTAGAAACCGGATGGTTTAGATGGATATAAACTGCCCTGATATAATTTATAATTCAAAGTTCCAGACCATAATGGCAAACAAACATAAACAGACAGTATTGTCTTTTCCGTATAGCTACATCTACACTTTTTTTCTTTGAACATCACAAAGTCCTGCCAAAAATACATGTCCCTTGTATATGGTGAGGTCCAATAAGAGGTAAATAAGTGTTTATACATTTCTGTTACCTATTTCCCATTGGCTTCTTACCTGATTGTGATTCATTTTCCATAGCGGTGACTATTAAAAACTAATTTGCAGCCTTTGCACGGCAGCAGTTTGAGTCTACAAACCAAGAAAAAAAAAGAGTGACAAAGAAAAAACAACTATTAAAGGTGTTTTGTGTACGAAATCCATCAGTTAGACAACACAAACGAGATTAAAGCACACGCACAGAGCACTTCAGTGGGAAAACCAAAAGTCAGTCATTATTCACCTGACATCCAAATTGTTTATAAGTCGTTAGTCTGCTGGGTGCTGTCAATTATGTTGAAGTCCTCTGTGACTGTGGCTGAATTTTAAAAGAACCGGTCCAATTTGGGGATGGCATGCTGACATTAAGTCCCTGGGACAAAAAAACGAACAATAACAATGCACAGGGTCCACTGCAGTGAGGGTCGGATTATTCTGGGAAAAGAGGGCAAAAAATCAGCTGGGTGTCCGAGGTAACATCTCAGACACTCCATGAATTTGAATCCTTTTTTGTTGTAGGGTAGAATAGGGGACACGGACCTCACCTAGCCAGGCCTCACATTCTTGACTCTGTCCCCCAGGTTTTTCCGCCTGCTTGTGATAGTATCGTGGAAGACAGGTATATTGAAGATGTAATGGCCAGTGTCCTTCAAAGGACCTGTCCAAACAGACTTGGCTATCTTTGCTAACAGTTAGTTCAAATAAAGGCTTTCATTAACTTTCTGAGATGGCTGCTCAGAATCTGTTGACATTAAAACTTTAACAGTATGAATGTCAAACAGAGACCCAGTTTTAATGTTCAGATACGAATGTATTAGGATTGAGCTAGCTGTCGTAGAAAACCAGCATCCCAACGGCTCGTAGCATTAGCCTCCATGGGCAACCTTTGGCTGATAAAAGCTAAATACAGGACTTCTGACAAATCAAGCAGTTAACAAGACAATAATGTAAAATGGCATGTACTTTGGGAAGAGAAATGCTTTTTATTTACGTTTAAACTAATGACTAATGACCCATTATGTGGCTATTTAGCTTCTGCCAATGTTAAACAGAGTGCAATAACATTTTTCAGATTTAAAGGCTTCAGTTTAATAGATCTCACGAAAAACATTCAGTTCAGCTTGCTGGAGTTGATTGAATTTTGCCCTGTATCAGTTACATATATAGTATCTTATGGAGGACAGTCATTAATAACAGCTTTGAATTTTTTTCACGGATTCTTAACACGGTTGATTGATATTTGAATGATTTTCTCAAATACCTGACTAATCACACGCCTCTCTGTGCCACTGGCGTTGCTCTATTGACAGTTAGAACCTCTGGACCTTGCCGTAATGGTCTTGAGATGGGATTCAACTCTAGACCATTGAGCAGAACAGAAGATCAGCATGTAGGCTGATATTCTGTTCTGCTCTCCAGGCTCCATTGGGGTTAATCCTGGAGGTCCCGGCCTTGTCCTCTTGAAGAATGACAGAACTTCTGTTCTGGTCCGCTTACTGAAACCTGGAGGGGTCTGCAGAATATCCATGAATATCAGTCAACCTTTGACACTCAGTCCCAACTCAGCTCTTGCACTCAGATGATTGTAGCAAGACTCTGACCGGCAGGATGTCATTTAGTAGGAGGCACATCCTCAGCAGTCCAACACAGACGACAGCTCACCGATTTTATGACTTGTAACTCTGCAGAGTAGGGCTTAAAAGCTTTCAAAGTCGCTGTCATTGTTGTCAGTAGAGGAAGTCCATGTATGCCGGTTTGTCTATATGAGACCCATTGCCCAGAAACCATTTTATTGCCTGTTCTAATCAATCCCTGAAATGCCAACAGGGCTTTCTTGGTGCAGTTTTTAGGTAGTAACATAATAGACTTTGCATATTCTTCACAGCTTTAGGGGGAAAAATGATGTTCCTTCATCTAAACTGCTAGTTTTTGGCCACTTAAGGCATCTAATTTATCACTCCGGCTCAGTAAAAATGTATCTTTATTCGCACAGAATTACTAAACACAAATGTATTCTATTTATTGTAACAAATTACTAGTCTAAACCTGCCTCAAGGTTTATGAAACACTCTGCCTTTCAGTCAAGGGGCCACTAGATGGAGGAATGGAGCCAATCTTTTTATTATTATAATCGAACTGTGGTTTTCTATCCCCGTGAGTTGTGGTCATACATTGTCAGCTTTTAAATGACCATTGCAATCATTAGGAGGTGTAGAGGGTGGCGTAGTATGGAGTTGGCTCTCAAACAATTATTCTTATGTGTGAATGCAGTTAAAAAAGAAACTTGAAATATAAGCCCCTTTTTTAAAAGTAAGAAATACACTGTAAACTAAATGAAAATTATGCAAATTGCATGTAAGGGGGAAAAGTGCT